AGAGAGAGAGAGAGAGAGAGAGAGAGAGAGAGAGAGAGAGAGAGAGAGAGAGAGAGAGAGAGAGAGAGAGAGAGAGAGAGAGAGAGAGAGAGAGAGAGAGAGAGAGAGAGAGAGAGAGAGGGATATGTGTAACATTTCTTTTAATCTGTCTACATACATTTTACGAAAAATTTATGCATAATAATATTTTTCACCTAAAATTAAGAATTACAACACATATACAATACGATTCTAATTAGTGATAATAGAAAATATGTTACTTATAAAACTACACACTATTAATTTCATATTTGGAAAATAAAATTCAACCTTCAACACACAAATTTTTTTGTGATGTTGCAATTATAAATACACGCAATAACTACCTATTGATACTAAAGTTACTTTGTTCCATCTCTTCCATGTAAAATAGTGTACCTGTCTGATGCTTTACCTCAAAGACGGTGGTCTTATGATATAAAATCTATTAGTTCTGAAACTTTGTATTATTAAGTCCATAATTTGAATATATATATATCTGCACAGGGTGCGGGCCGGTCACCTAGTCAATCGTTAAATATAACAGCAAAATTAAACTGTTGACTTTCGACAAAATTAACCAACAAAAATATAAAATTTATCTGTGTCTTACTAAAATTGAAGATTAAAATGGTGTATTCTTTAGAAAATTGACGTCATTTGAAGATCGAAGACTTTTTCTATCTTTCGCTTAAACTAATTTTTGTGGTTTGGACAATTTCTCTGAAGATTGAAGATTATTTTGTCTATCTTTCGCTTAAACTATTTTTTCTTTTTTGGTTTAGACAATTTCTCTCATAATTCTCACTGGTCGTTCTATAGTACGTACCATCGAGAGCTTGGGAGCAAGACTAAGAACCATATCCTCAAATTTCTAGATCAGATGAATCTGTTGTTCGGCCACTTGTACTTGAACCTTGTCACTGACCATATATATAATTTCCTGCCGGTTCAGTATACGTTATCTTGTTCGAGTCTATAAAGTTGATTATCTCTGCAATCCCAAGTCATCTGCTATTGAAAGAAATCTAGTGGGAAGAAGTGTTATTTTTCCACAGGTTGTAAAAGTACGACAACACTTTGTTGCTTCTCTTACATGGTTTAAGATCTTTTGTTAAGACACATTGATTACTCTTCAACAACCTATGTACAGTTTATAAACCAGCAGGTGGGAGAAAAGAAAAAAGGTAAACATGTATAGCTTGCTCCGTAGCCAGACCTCTTATTTAATACTTATGAGATTTCGACATTGGTTCCAAGTGGTTCCACCTTCTAGATAATCTCAATGGAGTTGCGGATTTTCACTGCGTTCTCTAGACGTCTCTATTTTCTCTTTCATGTCACTGTAAAGTTGGAGGTGAGATTCATGACGATTTCAAAAGCTTTGCCACAGGAACTCACACGGGATCATCTCCGCTACTACGGTAAAATGTTTGAGTTTGAACAGCCTTTGTAGCAGCAACTCTAGCAGCATTAGCTGCTCGGTTTGCTACCATCACTGCTCTGTTCACTCTTTCTTCCACTTTCACAACTTCATGTGCTTTCTCGGCTGCTTTCCTAGCTTGCTGTTTAATGAAGAGAGAAAAAGATAAGGATCAAACCTAATGTGGGTAAAATCCATTTGTACCACATGAGAATTGGAACTATTTTTAACAAATTGGTCTCTTAACTCTTCAAGAGATTAACAAAATTCAAAGTGCCTAATTTTGTATGCATTAGTAGGAGTAAGGTAAGCTTATAAGTTACCTGGACAGTGTCAAGAACCTTGGAATGACTGATGGAAAACGATGAACCATGACGGGTAGTCTGCTCGGTAGGACAGCTGAGGACACCGTCTTCCCAATGGCCTGCTTGTGTCTCACCATTCCTGAATGTGTACATACCAAGCCCTTGTCTTCTCCCCTCATGCCAGGCTCCTTCATACCGATGCCCGTTTCCAAATTCATACACTCCAAAACCATGCATCCTGTCTGCAAAATACTCTCCGGCATATGTATTACCATTTCTGCAACAGAGGTGAAGTTTCAAGTTAGGCAGGTATATAGAAGACAAGTCAGTAATTACTAGTGACTTGGTGAATTATAGTCTCTCCTATTCAATACTATTTTAGGTCATAAATGTGTCAATAACTTGTAAAAGTGACTTGATAAAAAAAAACTTGTAAAAGCGGCAAGAAAAAATGAAATTCCTTTTTATTGTGGATGGTTTTGCTGAATTGTGTACGGTCGTTACGTGTCTGCCATTAGCGTGACAAACATGATCCTTCTCATGTTTTTAGTTGTTCTAAATTATGCTGTTAACATTAATAAGTGTAACACAAAATCTATTAATAACGGGACTTATAAAAATTTTGTTGATAAAATTGTCAGAATAGTAAAATTGGTTAAATTCGATAATCTAGTGAATACTATTCTTATAATAATAAAACGGTAAACATAATAATTTAACAACTAAATTTAAAATCATTATTCATAGACTCATCCCTAAACTAAAAACTGCAATAATGATTAAGATGGAATTTCAACTCCTTATATTGTGTTAAAACCAATATTTCTTCTATTTCTAAAAAATAAATGTTTGAAATTTTATTTTATTGCAAGTAAGTATATGCTTTACATTGAATATGTAATTTCATCAGTTAGTAATGATAAATTGTAAAAAATTAAAAAAAAAATACATGTATTCAAATACTATTTATTTAAAATTATAGAAAATAATTAGTTACAAAACAAAATGATATATTTAGAATCAATTATTAATATGTATAAAATATGTATTTTTAAAAAAGCACAGAGAATATAAAAGCTTACAATTAACTCTTGTTCAAAAACTCGGCTCAGGCGACAGTCGAAAAGTGTTAGGCGGGTAGAAGCAGCTACGATTTTGTTATAATCGGTTCAAAAATCGGAAACTTCAAAAAACTTACTTTTTGTTCATTAAACTTCTAAGACTCAAGTTTTTTTTTAAAATAGATTTATTGTTATTAAGTGCAAATACAAAGAAAGAAAAAGAAGAAAATCGAAGAAAAAAACATATGGCCGCGATTGGTACATTTTACAGATTGGAAAACTCTAAGGAAGATAATGAATGAGAAATGTTTGTTTTACTATTCTTTAAAGTTAAGTCGAAAAGACCAAAATTGCACGGAGGAGGGTTTCAAGTCATTAACAATGGGCCATTTTAAAGCATCTAAGACACCGCGCTGACTCTACTTCTCGTGGTAAATGGTTCCAATATATAACATACTATGGGTTAGCCCGCCCTACGGGAGGATGAATTTAAAATAAAATTATTTTATTTTAATTTATAAAATATTTGAAATATTATTTTCACTGATTAATTGGTAAAATATTAAAATAACATTATATTAATTTATTTATTATTATTGTTGGATTTTTTGTTTAATTTTATAAATATATGATGCATTTGTCACTATTTTACATTGAGAAAATTTTCTCAATGTTGATTTTATCTTCATTATAATCAGTGAGTAAAATGCATTAATTTATTTTAAATTGTGGTTCCATTCAGCATGTGAATTATAAACTACTTTTACCTTTTATAATAATTTTTACACATTTAGTTTCTCTTACACCTTTTCTTTTAAACATATTGATTCGTGTTATACGGAAAATAAAATAATTGATATATATGAGAAAAGTCAAAAAAATAAAATCGTAAATGCACTTTGCTCTTTTTGTTATTCTTAATCATTTCTATTTATTGATGACAAAATATAAAAAAAAATATGTATTTTTGGATTATATTATGTATTTTTACTAACTGTTATTTCTTGACATAAATATTGATGCCCAAAAATGGTTGAATTGAAAACAAACTATTAAATGTAGTGTTTTAATACCCGACCCGGATCTACGGTTGAACCGGTGAATCTAATGATCCGTAAATAATCCGGTTTAAATTTTTAAAAAAAATCTGTTAATTAAAAACCCCATAACACCCCGCAAAAACCCAACATTAAACCGCGATCCGACACCAGTTAACCCGGCAGAATCCCCAAATTTTCATATAATCTTTATAAAAAAAATTGATTAAATTTTTATACACTTTTAATATTACAGAAATTTAAATAAACTATATATTTCTGATTCTATATACTTTGATGAAAATTTTACAATATTATTTGAAGAAAATGATAATAAAAAAAACAAAATTGATTTATATGACATTGCTAGACTATTATTTATTTTTATTGAAAAATCTATTATAATTTTGTATTTATGATTTAAAATTTAATTTTATAATATTTTTTTAATAATTTATTATCTTATTTTTATTCAAATCTGATGTTATTAAAACTTGATCAAATCATTTATTTTATGGTAGATACAAATTGAAAGAAAACAAAAAAAAATTAAATTTACTGACAAAAAAAACAGAATTTTAAATATTAAATTATATTTTGTATAAAATTTGATATCATCTTATACTTTCCAATGATTGATGATATTATGTTTATATATATATATATATATATTAAAATTTATTAATCTATTGATCCGTGGTTCAAGTGCGGTCGATCCAATGACCTGGTGACCCAAAAAATAATCCGGTTTAGTCTCTAGATTGGGTCTAAAACATTGATTAATTGGGTTTTTAAATAGATTTGATTTAAATAATAGAAGATGAGAAAATGTGGAATAAGTACTCAATAATATTATCGTGATGTATCAAGTTCTTAGCAAGATTCTTGATGTATTCATTATGAGATAGTAGTGTTGTACTTGTAAGCTATAAAATTAATTTTGAATTTTTGAGAACTTACAGTTTCGATTAATTTTAATATATTTAGGCCTAGAAGCCGACAATACTTAAAATGTGGTCTGATTCCAAGATGAATTAGACATAGCCATGGATCCAACAAAATCTACATCAAGTAATACCCAATTAAGATAAGACTGAACCAACCCACATGCTAAAGACCTTGCACCAAACACATTGCTACAAAAATCTAAAGAAAAAGAAAGCCAAATATTATAATTTTCAAATTTAACAGTAATAGTGATGGGAAACATATATAAAACCAAACGTAAATCAGCTTATATATCAACCAAAAATAGTGAAAGTAAAAAAAACGAAATTAAACACAGCACACAAGTCCACATAACATCATTGCAAGCAAACACACATTTAAAAGTATAAGACGTTATAAATTTTGTTGGCTATGAAAAGTTCCTACTTCTGCACACCTGAAGCACTTCTCTGCAGCTTCGCCCTCCATCCTCCAACAATGTCCTCATAGTCTTCCTGGATTTATGTTATACGCTTGTCAGAATCTCGAAACAGTAAATCAATAGATACAACTTTGGATGTTATATGATTTTCTGAAACAGAAAGATACTGACTTCGGAGAAGTAGATGAAATATATTTTTTCTTTCTCCACACTCTATTTTTTATCCAAAACAAACTCTGTTGAAAACTAATAACCCCCGGTTTCCAAATCGTATATATTAGATTCATTACCTGTTCATAACGGTTTTCTGTGATAATATTGTTAAAGCCTATGTCTTTTAGCATCTACTCAGTTCATATTTGTGCTAGGAGCTAGAGAAAGGGGTTAGACACACAAAAACATATCTTTGTCAAAGAAAAGTTAGAAAACAAACCTGCCCTATGCTTGAACATCATGGAGATCACATCCTCTCTGTTTTATGTACTCAGAGATCTCAGGAGATGGAGTTTCCGAGCTCTTACCGAAGTCGCTGATGAGTATTTTACCTGGAGGTTTAAGCCACTTGAAGAAATTCATGAACAAAGCTGGTTTTTCCTGTTAGAAGAACAGAGAAAGAATGAGTTAAACATTAACAATGATAAACTTCCAAGAGAGAAAACAATATAATAAGTTTGTATACTCTGATGTACAGAATAGTGTCGCAGCTGTTGTGAATCAGCATATAGAGTAGTTGTCTCACTTTGCAACTTTCTACCGAGATAATCATTTGACCTTTCACCAAACTGCTTTCTATTAACGAAAACGTCCAAACAGTTATATGAATACAAATCTTCTGCCTTTTGACCATAAACGTTTCTCGAGGGAGACAAATAGCTTCCAGAAGCATACTCTGGTGACGTGACTCTAGCAGATTGGGGACACATCCAGATGAGCCGACGTCGTGTTTGCTCAAAGTCTGAGAGCTGGAATGAGAAGGTATCTATTGGAGAACTAAAGATACTTAAGATTTTTCTTGCTATCGTTTGAGGTGAACTTTCCATGGCTGAAGGGTGAGATACTTATAATGGAGGTTTTTAAGGGTTTACTGTGGAAACCGAAAAGGTCGACTGAATGCTTCCTAGTAGGAGGATTGGGCTAATCACAAGAAAAAAAAGACCAGAGTTAAGCACAAAGTAATGATAGACGTTATGGATCTCGGATCGTCGCTTCACTTTCTGTAGGTTCCGTCGAATGGGGGAGAGAGAGACGCAGCTAAGGAGGAAGAAGAAATCCTAATATTCAGTTGGGCAAGCCCAGTTAGAATTTAAAACACCAGGCCCGTTAAAACAAAACAACCGAAAGCACAATTGTTTTTGGGATAGCTGACGTGTCTTTTTTGCCCTATGTTTATAGCTGATGTGGAGGAAGGAGAAGGGAGAAAACTTAAGTTTATTATCCCCTATATATTAATTGAGAAACATTTGAAAAATGGTAACCTCAATTTTGTAATAATTAAAAAAAATTCCATGCTTACGTGTCACTCAATTAGGTAATCAATTACATTCAATTGAAAAATAAGTATTTCCACATTCGATTTTTATATGTCGCTAGATATATTTATTGGTCAAACTATATGATATTTATGATAGAAGCATTTATGATTGTTCTACTAGATATAATTACTATTTTATTTTCTTTCCTTAAATAAAAGATACGGAATTACCATAAATGACAAATATATATATATATATATATATGACAATTAATGTTTCTAATAATAAATATTTGATA